AACCCTGCTGACTATCCTGCCCCTGTGGTAAGATTTTCTAGAACCAGCCTCCAAACCTAACTCCTTATTTCTATTAATAGTTTTGGTAAAACTCTTTACAGAACCAGAATGTTCACATAACTTTCATACTCTTGGCTGTCTGAGGACACATTTTGATTAAATCGGGTGTTATGATAGTTACTCAGTAGTTTACTTTACCCTTGCTTAATTAAACGTGTTTAAGGTGCTACTCAGTTTTGAGGAACTCTACCCAACCTCTAAAATGACCGATTGCTCTATGGATCCCTTTCTGAAAAACACTGCTATAGAATAATGTCTGTCACTGCACCGCCGGCCCAGCCCATGAGAGCAGGGCGACGCGCCGTGCTGGGCGTTCCTTATTTGGATTTCTGAAAGGTGGCACCCCTTCCAGAACCCGACCCACCTCCAAGGCCCGGCTGATCCTGGGCACGTTCCTCAGACCGATGACGGCGGAAGCGACGTTCTGCGCCCGGAGCTCCATCACGGCGGTCAGAACGTCGTCGGGGTCCTGCGTCTGGCCGCCGGAGAAGAACACGGCCACCTTTCGGGTCGTCTTCCCGGGCCGGACCCGCTTGAAGACGTTCCGGCCCACGAACAGCATGGCGGCGCCGAGGTGGCGGCGCTCGGCGGTGCGCTCCCTGGCCAGTTTCTGCACCGCCTCCAGCAGCGACGCCCTGCTGCGGTGCTCCTGCAGGCGGATCAGGTAGCGGGTGTGCCGGCTGAACGCCACCACCGACACCCGCGCGCCGGCCGGACAGTTGCTCTTCGCCATGTTGATGTCCTGCAGCAGGGAGAGGACGACCCGCCGCTGGTCCTCAAAGTCCGCCGACGTCACGTCCTCCGACATGTCCAGGGCAAAGACCAGCTCAGTGGGGACGGCGGGGCAGCGGGGCGGATCTGAGGAAGGGAGATCAACCTTAGACCCAACAGAACCAGACTGGAGGAACCGTCTGGCAGAACCAGAACCACAGCAGGAAATCCTGCAGAAGACAAAGAGACAATGAGGAGAAAGATGGACCAGAGGTGGTTCTGTCCCGGAAACCCAGAGAACTGACCAGTTCGGGTTCATTCACGGCCCTGATCAGTCCGCTTTAATCCAACTCCAGTCCATCTGCCTAGTCAAAGTCCGGTTCGGTGATGAGGTGTGAACACTAATTGACCTCTGACATCCAAACCTTGTCTGGGTTCGGTTTGAATGTGAATGCCCAGCGGACCATAGACGCTACAAAAGCAGGAAGTGGACTGCAGCGCAGGGCATTCTGGGTAAATACAACCAAAGCTAACATGCTAGCCTAGCGCTAGCAGCAGAAGTGTTTCCTGGTCTTTAGCCAAAGTCTAAAATCCTCCATCTTGTTGCCATCTGGTGAAGAAGGAAGTTGCTCTCAGTGTCTTCAGAGGGTTTTGTGTCGGTTCTTGGTGCAGCGCCCCCACAGGCCAGGAGGGGAACAGGTTGGTTTGACTCAGAACCACAGCAGCTGGAGGAGGAGCAGATGATGGAGTTCTGGTTCCAGTAGAACCGGGTCCACAGAGCCGGTCACCCAGACTCACTCAACATTATTCAGTGAGGATGCTGGAATGTTGTACTGTATATTTTGGTAATTTCAGTGATTGCAGTTTTTGAAATATTTAAACTTTTTTTGTCCACTAGAATCTGTGGAATATCTCCAACATTCTGCCAAAACCTGACAGATTATTTCTTCCCCTGTTTCAGCCTAGAAACTCCATTTAAGTTTTAAACCAGTCACAAGAATTAAGCTACTTCCAAATGATTCAGTTTTTGATTTCTCAGTTTTTATCATATCATGATTTGAGTTTTGTTCATTTGTTGTCCATTCTCAGTGTGAACTCTGGAAACTGATGCTTTCTCAAACTTCAGGGATTTTTTTACTAATGCTGCTGTTTGAACAAATTTCCCTCTACAGAAATAATTTATGCATCAAACCGCAGCCGCAGCTTTCAGGAGGTGTAAGCGTCGCTTTCCTTTAAACGCCCCAGAGCTCAGGAACGTCCCCACTGGAATCGCGCCTCCTGAACGGCAGCATGTGGAGACGTTTTAGTTTGAAGGGCCCTGAATGACCTGGATTCAGTTACTGGTTTTAACTGGTTGCTGATCTAATGGGATTCCTTTGTTTTTCCAGTTAACTTGTAATGATGCTAATTAGTTGCAGCAGGCGCTACAGGAATGAAACACTTCATTTTGCCGATGCAGATTTTGCTGAAATTAGACTTTGAATTTGAGTCTTAACAGATGTTTCTGACCAGCCGTGGCGAAACTGAAAAGGTTTTGGCTGCAGAGAGGCTTCAGCTCCGAGCCTCTGATTCTACAACATGAAGCCTGTTGAGTCAAATGTTTGTCAACATCAGTTTTTGTCCTGCGGTGTTTGAGAAGCAGCAAAGAATTGAAATGTTCCTTTATTATGCTATGCTGGAATGTTTCAGCCCTGGTTTTATTACAAATATTATCAAACTTATGAAAATAAACATCTATTCATCATTAATTACATATTGTTTCTTGTAATCTACAGTAATCCTTTGATTCACAGCTACATGATCAAAATGGAAGAACAGGATATACGATTATACCTAAAAAATATTATAATATGCAAATACAATCCCTGCAGGGAGTGAAGGGATCAAAAAGGAATGAATGAATGAATGAATGAATGAATGAATGAATGAATGAATGACATGGAGGAGGAATTGGGGAAGACATAGAGCAGTAAGGACAAAAGAAACGAGAGGTAAAAAAGGAAGGAGGGAAAATGAAAATAAGGAAGTGTGGAAGAGAGAAGGGAAATCGTAGCAGAAAATAGGAAGGGGAGGGAGGAGTCTGGTTCTGGTTCTGGTGGAAGTTTCTTCCTGTCGCCACATGCATGCTCAGTCTGAGGGACTGCAGACCCCCCGCTGTCTGCCGGGTTTCCTTCGATAGAAAAGCTGGTTTATTGGAGTTTTTCTGTTTTTGTCTTTAGATGAAAATAATGAAACTGAAAACCTGAATTTCCTCAGAGGAGAAACGTTTTTACTCACCGCTGCTGTTCTGGCTGACAACCGGCAGAGATACGTACCGTGGCAACAAGCTGCGGAGGAAGAGGAGGAGGAGCTGAGAGAGGAAGGTTTTAAGGTTTGTCCTGGTTTTAGAAGGTTTCTGATCGACCTACCACAGTGGTTCCTGATGTAGGTGATCAACTCGCACTCCTGAAACGACAGCAAGACGTTTAGATGTCAGCCTGACAGCAGCAGCTGCAGGATTGAGGTGGATTTACAGTTTTTCCTCTGTTTCCAGGAACGCCTCGCCGGCCCTGCAAACAGGAAGTAGAAAGGTAAGAGTTTGGTTTCCACGGTAATGTCCAGACTGAAGAGGGAAGTTCGGACTCACTCTGCGTCCGGGGAATCCGGGCTCGCCGGGCTCGCCGGGCTCTCCGGTTCCGCCCGAGTTTCCCTGTGAAGCCAAACGGGTCGGCTGCTTTTAAAGCTAAATCTCAGGTTTCCTCTGAGAACAGCGGAGAACTCACTGACCTCTCGACCTCGGCTCCCTCTCCCACCTGGAAATCCTTTGGTTCCTTTCTCTCCCTTCGGACCCTGAACACACAGAACACTGTGACCCACCGGGTCTCCTGAATGGTACACTTGGTCAGGACGGGACTCACCAACGGACCGGGGTAACCAGGGAAACCATCAGACCCCTGAGGATTATGAAAGGTGAAATCAGCTGATCTGGTAGAAACCTGAGGATGAACTCTGACCTGGAGGTTACCTTTGCCCCTGGGGCTCCTGGAGGTCCTGCACCGTCTCGCCCTTCCTCACCCTGAAACACAGACAGGTGGAGCAGGAAACCCGCCCACTGTAGAAACCCGGCAGGTTCTGCAGACGATCCCAGAATGAAGCGACTGGAGGTCGCTGCTGCTCACTTTAACCTCAGGCTCCTGGTTCTGACCCAGTCAGAACCGACACAACCCGACATCGATGTGATAAGATTACAAATAAGATTCCTGAAGAAAATGGGGCCAGAAATCATCCGGGTTCTGGTTGAACCGGACCCGGACGGGAGGCTGTTTGTAGAACCACAGCCACAAAATAACAACACTCATCACAGAAAAATGGGATCCATTTTAAAGTCAAGTTGTTAATTCAGTTATACCACAGGAATCATTATGTCACAGTTTCAAACTAAATATTTAGTCAGTTAGCTAAATATTTAGCCTCATGCTAAATATTCAGCTAGCAAGGTAAATAATTACAAAAGAAATGTTTAGTTAGCGAGCCATCTGTCTGACCTCAGGATAAATACTTAGCTCTAAACTAAAGATTTAGTCAGCAGGCTAACTATTTAGCTATAAACTAAATATTTAGCTGAAAAGCTAAATATTTCTTTACCAAACTAAGAAAGCTAACTATTTAGCCTCAGCCTAAAAAGCTGAATATTTAGTTTGAAAAGCTGCTTCTTCTACATGAACTAAGTACTCAAACTAAATATTTTGGTTGCCTGCTAAATCCACAGCTTGGAACTGAATATTTAGTTTGAAGCTAAGCGTTTAGCTTCCTGAGTGAACCAGCTGCAGGCGGTCCCCGCCCGGCTGCTTACCGGCGGCCCCCGCGGCCCCTGCGGCCCCGGTGCCCCCTGGGGGCCCGGCTCTCCAGGCTGGCCCTGAAACAGATCAGGAAGGAAGGAGCCATGTTTATAATAAATCTCTTTCCATATCCAGACCCTAAACTATCTCCACATTGATCTTCCCGTTTCCATGGGAACAGCAGCTAAAGCTCAGCTCAGGTAAAGACAGAACCAGACCCATAGGATGTTCTGATCGGGTCATGATGCTGCCTACCTTCTGTCCGTTGGCACCGGGTCGTCCTCCGCCTCCCGGTCCTCCAGCACGTCCCGGGTCACCCTGCAGGGAATCACCAGAACCAGAACCTTAAATCTGACCCTGACAGCCCAGGGTCAGAGGTCAGAGCCTGAAGCTCATCCTCAGTTAGAAGGTTGAAGGTTAAAGGTCAGGACACTGAACCAGTGTGTGAACTATGAACACGAACTGATTCTTACCTGCCGTCCAGGAAACCCCATCATCCCTTTTGGTCCCTGCGGGCCTCTGTTCCCTCTGGGTCCCTGCAGAACCAGAACCAGAGCCGGAACCAGAATTAGAATCAGATCCGGAACCAGAACTGAAATCAGAGCCGGAACCAGAACCAAACTCAGAATCAGAGCCAGAACCAGAACCAGAGTCAGAACCAGAGCTGAAATCAGAGCCGGAACCAGAATCAGAGCCGGAACCAGAACCAGAACCAGAGTCAGAATCAGAGTCAGAATCGGAATCAGAATCAGAGCCGGAACCAGAATCAGAGTCAGACCCAGAATCAGAACCGGAACCAGAACCAGACTCAGAATCAGAGCCGGAACCAGAATCAGAACTAGAGTCAGAATCGGAACCAGAATCAGATCCGGAACCAGAACCAGAACCAGAGTCAGAACCAGAACTGAAATCAGAGCCGGAACCAGAACCAGACTCAGAATCAGAGCCAGAACCAGAACCAGAGTCAGAACCAGAGCTGAAATCAGAGCCGGAACCAGAACCCTCAGAGCTCTGTTCTCCTCCTGGAGGCAAAGTGAAACCGTTTGGAGGAAACTCTGCAGTCGGCTGGTTATTCAACAACAAATGAAAACATTTCTTTAATTTTAATCTTCTGCTGAGTTTCACCGATAGGAGATTTCTGGCCGATCGCCGATTACCGATCTTTTAAAAATCTTACAGATTCCGATTTTGGCCGAAACCATTTTTGTGCTGAATTTGCAACAACAGGGTGACTGTAGTTAACTGTAGGCGAGCAGACACGACCTGGTCGGCCGGTTTGTCAGTCACACCTCCCTCACAGAAGACAAGAAAAGCACAGTGGTTGAATTTTAGACCTTGGCAGAGGTTGATAACCTCAGTGGATAAGATTGGCTTCACATGTGAAATCGGCCGATCACAGATCTCCCAAAATTAAGGAAATTGGCACCAATACCATGGCCCAATCGGTGTAAACATGATCACTTTTTGAATTCTGCACCTAAAAATAAACCAAAGTATGGAAAAAAACCCACTATGACTAAGAACCAAACTAGAACACAACAATATTTAGCTTATGATAACTAATGAAAACATGCAAACACACTGTAAAAACTAAACAAAGCCAACAGAAAGTCTCCAGACAGCTGCTGGGAGCCAAGTGTTAGCAGTTAGCAGGAAGCGTTAGCAGGAAGCGTTAGCAGGAAGCGTTAGCAGTCTGGCAGGTGAAGATGAGGTGGGATCACTCCTACCTTTGGACCTGAAGCTCCTGGCACACCTGGTGGTCCTGGTCTCCCTTTGTCTCCAGGTGCGCCCTGCAGAGAGCAGGTCACACGCTGAGCACAGCTCAGCAGTCAACATGGCGGCGGTTTGTTTGTTCTCCTACCGTGGAGCCACTGGCGCCTCGTCTCCCGTCCCGACCCTGCGGCGCAGAGAGCAACTCGTCATCTACTGACGCATTAACCTGAGACTTTACGGTTCCTGTTCCGACCTCCAGTCTCTCTTGGTGCTGTGGTAACCATGGCAACAAGGTGTCGTTTTTTTTTTACACTTGGGCTTGGCTGATTAGCTTCTTTAAAAGCTCAAATAGCACCTGACCTCTGACCCCAGATCCAGAGAAGTTGGGAAGGAGGCTTGATGGATGCAGAGACAGGAGGAGGAAGGTGAACCTTCATCTCCTCTTTAGAGATTTTAAGAGGAGCAGCAAAAGCAAAGGAGGTGGATTAGCAGAGCATCATCTCTGTGCTTCCTGGATGCTGAACTCTTAGCATGTCACAATGGCTAATGAAAATGTTATACAGCAACAGTCTTCAGTGAGAGGCCACTTCAGATTCACTGTGACACTGACTGCTACTGGACATCCTTCCTTCCCACAGCATCAACTGATAAATAATTCTTTGAAGATACTAGCATTCAGAGGTCAGCACTGCTAAACAGTTAGCTCTGCTAATGCTAAAGCACTACACCAACATGGAATTTAATGGAAGCTAATGCTAACATGCTAAAATTAGCGTAAGATGATGAGCTGATTTCCTTTTGTTCCAAAATAAACACAACTTAAATAAACCAATAAATGATTAAACAATTGTCATTAAATTAAATAGTTTAAAACAGGAAGCTAAATATTAAACAATAATTTGACACTTATTTGTGTTGTGATGATTATCTGCAGTCAGGCATGATTCCTCATGTGCAGTGGGCGGAGCTAACGCTGCTCTGGTTATGATTGGTCTGAACCAGACTCTCTGTGCTGGCTAACCAATCAGAAGCTAAGAGGAAGTACTGCAGCACTACAGTGATTGGTTAAGGGATATTTGGCTGCACTGAAGAACATAATGATTAAATCAATATTTAATTAATAATGTAACTTTAACAGATACTCAGCTTCCTAAGTGGGTCAGCGTTAGGTTGGGTTCTGCGGCGTTAGGAGACTCACCGGGTTCCCGTCCTCTCCGTCCCTCCCGGGACGTCCCTGCCGTCCAGGCGTTCCCTGGGAATGGAAACACAGCCGGATGAGAACAGCGACCAGATGTGTAAAACCTCTGGATCCGGACCAGAGGCCCAGCTGCTGGTAACCAGAACCCGGTAACGATGACCTGGTTCTGGTTCCTAATGTCCCTCCAGGAAACAGTGGAGGACGACGTTCGTCTGAGAACGACTCGCCTTCAGCTCCACTTCAGGCCTCAGATCAAATCACCATGTTAATCCAGGGAAACTCAGTCCCTCCCAGCTGACCGGGCCAAACACATCGGATCTGCTGAGAACGGTTAAAGATGGCCGACTTCATTATTAATAAACTGGAATTGTGTGGTTTAATATAGAAGTCGTATAAATTCATGTTCTGCCAGAGAAACATGAGTTTGTTCAGTCCAAGCAGCTGAGGGACAGATTAAAAACAGGATGTTGAATAATCTCTTCATGGAGGATCCTGATCAGCCAATAGGGATCCGTTACCAGGCAGGATGGGAGAATAAAACCAGATCGCTGCTGTCTGTCACGCAGAAACAGCCTTCTTTAAGTTTTCACTGCGGTGCCAACAGGCGCCGCCAATCGATTAATTTTTATTCAGGTTTCAGCAAAACAATGGGAAATTAGTCAATATTTGATGAACTTCTCCTGAACAGGCGATCAGAACCGTTGTCCCAGATTTGGATCAGCTGATGCTCATCAGATCTTTATTTGTTCAGTTTTTGTTTTTCTGTTTCTGTTTTTCCTGTGATTTTATGGGAGAACAGATTCTGTGTTGTGTTTAACGGGATCCATAAATAAACCAGAATAAACTCTCCAGTCCCACTGAGGCCCGTCTGAGTCCAGTTTGCCTGAATTATTCTGTTATTTCTGTAATGAACTCCCTGAACCAGAAAGTGCTTATTTCTCCAGCGTGTCCCAGTTTCACAGCAGCAGAATGTTTGTAGCCTGACTCACAATTATTGGCTGGGAAATTTACAGCTGCTCCAAGTTTCTGCAGCCAGATTCCAGAAGATCGAGAGCCAAGGCCGACTGTGTCTGGCTGCAGCATCTACAGCCTGACTCTGAAACCATGGCAACCCTTAAAACACGCATTCAGTCCAAACAGGATCTACCTGAAGGATTCACAGATTCCTCTCATCACAGAGCATCTCTGGCTTTCAGCAGAAGCTTTCAGAGGTCATCCTTCCACCAAACCTTTGACCTGAATGTTGGGCTGATAATGAGACGTTTCTTACCGGGTCCCCCTGGTTGCCAGGTTCTCCTTTGGGTCCTGGTGTCATGTTGTTGCGCCCCGGCTCGCCCTGTTAAATAAAGCAAACTCTGCAGTGTTCAGTGACTCTGGATTCAGGAAGTGTCCACTCTGAAACATCTGAAACACTGCCTGTCAGATTCAGGTTTTGTTGATGTAAAGAATCAGTTTTCAGACTAATTCAGGCTTAAATCTCCGTTAAGAGTCCAAACATTTACATTTGTCCTGAGAGGATTTACACATCTGAGCTCCTGAGTCGCTTCAGCCTGGATGAAATATGAACTGTCAGAAGGAGAACGTCCCGCCTGCGTTGGCCTCCTTAGCTGTGTTTATAGACCGAACTCCGGCGGTTTTAATGAATGCTCCTGAACCATTTACTGTCTTGTGATTTAAAGGCAGATAATATATATATTTTTAGCAGGAAGCAACAAGGAAAGTTTATTTTTGCGTGTCTTATAGATTTTCAGAGGGAATTTGACCTTGTGTAATGGGTTCCCGGGTTCTGGATGGGTTCCCGGGTTCTGGACCGTCAGCAGCAGATAAAGCTGAAGAGCAGCATGGAAATGAGCAGGCTGTGTTACTCCAGCTTCTCTCAGCTTATTAATGAACGAACCAGCTCATCTAACTGTTGATACAGCCCGATTTATAGTTCAGTAATAATAAAACATTGTAATAGTTTGGGAAACGCTGCATTTTCAGTCACTAAGAGCAGGAATTAAGGAGAAACTTTAAAACTCTGTTAAAGCTATTTATTAAAATGCAGAACCTTGTGTTCACCATGTGTTGCTCGTCTCTGTGTTGTAGGTAAACGACCTGGTTCGGTCCGTTAAGGAGGCAGCCGGTGAAGGAAACGTCTGTTTGCAGATGACGTTGCGCTTATTGCTGAGAATCAACCTGATCCTCAGAAAATGATAAATACTGTTTATTTCTGGTCTAACAAAATGAGGTTAATGATAAACTGTGGTAAAACTGAACTTATTCATTTACATTTTGCTATGGGACTTTTATTTGTCTATTACTAAAAAATAAAAATATTTGGGATTTATTGTGGATGAACATCTCACATTTGAAGAATGAATAAAAACAGCATTAGGTGGTGTTGTAAACAAAGTTACATTTTGTCATGTCAGCTCATAGATTAAAAAACATTTTCTGTTGGGACTTATCCAACAGATATACTTGGACTAGACACTTTGAGAGGTGTCTAGTCCAACCTCTCAAAGTGTTGAGAGTTTATAGAGACAAGTCTCTATAAACTTGTCTCTATGTTTATAGAGACAAGTTGAGATGTAATATTGAAAAAATTAAATTATTTTATTTTGAAGCTTATAAGTATAAACGGGCTGGTGGTATTTTAGGTAAACTAAAATTACAAAAGGTGTTAATGGTACTGAGGTTTATGTGATGGAGTTTAACTGAAAACTTTGACTGTACCATTGAAAGCTGCCACAAAAGAAATAAACTAAATATAACTGTCATTTAACTGTTACTGCATTAGCTCAGGCTAGCAACTAGCATGCCAATAATGGTCACCCATTAGATGGCCTCTTCCTCTGCTGTCCTTTAGCACAGTTAGGGGACGGCTAGCAATGAACAGGTTAGCATTAGCACTGGATAGGTTAGCATTAACATTGGATAGGTTAGCAATAGCATTGGATAGGTTGGCATTAGCATACTTAGACTGGTCACCCAGTGGATTGGTTCCTTCTACTGTTAATTAGCATGGAAAGGCTAACGTTAGCATTGGACAGACTGGCGTTAGGCTCGAATAAGCTAACAGCTAGCATGCCTATGCTGGTTATCCACTTTATCAGACCGATTCTTTTTCTTTAAATTAAACTTTATTAATGAAAATGGTTGTTATACAATATCTGTGCATACATTATATGCACTGACGTGTTTTTTGACACTTTACTGTAATCCAACGTGACACCAAGCATGAACATGCTGTACTACACATGGCTGAAGTTGGTTTTTAAAAGCTAGATTTTGATTCTGACATCTTGACTTGATATGTGAAAGTCAAAAAGTCATTTTAGTTCACAGCTCAAGTAAAGAAATCACAATCTACGTTTCAAAAATTCTGCTTTTAGTGTAGAATAATCTAGTCCATGTTTGTAGAGCCTACGTATTTAACTTTTTTAAATTAGAGCAAATTGGGTGCTGTGGTGATGCAGGGGCAAAGCACGACCCACATACTGAGGCCTTAGTTCCCGTGGCGGTGGTCACAGGTTCGATTCTGGCGACATTTGCTGCATGTCTTCCCCCTCTCTCATTACCCTGTTTCCTGTCAAACTACTTTTCAAACTAAAACCTTTAAAAAAAAAAATTAGAGCAAATTAATGTGAAAAGTGAGAAGGTCTCGCCCTTTAGCCATGTTCCCAATCAGAAGCCAACTTCAGCTCCGTATGATTCAGTATCTTTGTGACCAGTCTAGACATGCTGGCTGTTAGTTTACTCAAGGCTAATGCTAGCCTACCCATGCTAATTAATGGTAGATAATGAAGATCATTCAGAGGGTGATCAGCCATGCTAGATGTTAGCCTAGCCCGGGGGGGGGGGGGGCCCCCCCGGCCCGGGGGGGCCCCCCGCACCTTTA